CCCCACCATTGTCCGTGTCCTTGGGTTGTGTATATATGCACATAAATTCTTTGGTTACTCTCTCCCTCTCCACCCCCCCGCCCCCCTCCATCCCTCTGACCTTTGGTCAGTCTCAACTATGCTTCCATGTCATTGAATCTGTTCTGTTCATCAGTTTATTAAGTTCTTTAGATTCCACGTATAAGCGAGATCATGTGATATTTTTCTTTTGCTACCTGGCTTATTTCACTTAGCGTAATATTCTCCAGGACCATCCATACTGTCCCAAAGGGTACGAGCTGCTGCTTCTTTACAGCTGCGTAGTATTCCACGGTGTAAATGTCCCACAGCTTTTTAATCCACTCATCTACTGATGGGCACTTGGGCTGTTTCCAGATCTTTGCTATTGTAAACTGTGCTGCTATGAACATAGGGGTGCATAAATCCTTTCTGATGAATGTTTCAGGATTCTTAGGATACATTCCTAGGAAAATATGGAACGCTTCACGAATTTGCATGTCATCCTTGCGCAGGGGCCATGCTAATCTTCCCTGTATCGTTCCAATTTTAGTATATGTGCTGCCGAAGCGAGCACTGTGATGTCATTTTAGAGGTGGGACGTGACGATGTGAACAAAACGGAAAAGGGTCCTGGGATCGAGTAGTGCTAATGATACGTACTTAGATTCTGTATGAAAAAGTTAAAGAAAATTTAAAACCTCTCTCACCGAACCTGTTGGGAACTTTTATGTAAGTTTACTAATGAGGTCAAGCTAAGTGTAGACAGTTGTACAGACACCCTTGTTGGTGGTGTTAATTCTTACCGAGGATATTTTTTCCATTTACTTTTAGAGAGAGTGGAAGGGGAGAGAAACATCGATGTGACAGAGACATGTCAATTGGTTGCCTCCCTCCTGTGCCCGGACCAGGTCCAGGGATCGAACCTGCAACCCAGGGACTTGCCCTTGACTGGAATCGAACCCGAGACCCTTCAGTGTGCAGGCTCACGCTCTAACCACTGAGCACTGGCCAAGGCTGCACAGACACTCTTACACTGACAAGTTGGCGCGATTTTAGTGCCTGCGCAGGCTCTTCTCACAGAGCCCTGACTACATCCCCCTTTTCCGCTTCCTTCTGGGGATCCTGAGCTTGCCTCCAGGTCCGCTGGCCCCCCAGGGGCCTCACCCCTGCCTTCCCTTCCAGCTTTTTCAGGCATCTCCAGGGAAGCTGGCTTCGTCACCTTAGTAACGTTCCTCCTCCAGCCCTCTCCAGTGCCAGAACCTTCTACTTTGAATGGTGGTCCCCAGAGTCCGTGGCTCATTTCTGTCTTTCGGTCCTCAGTTCCTAAGAGGCTTTTCCAGCATGTGTCCCTCCAGATGCTGTCTCCCCCTCCCACACACTGCCCTCCCCTCCACCCTCTGGACACTGCATCAGTGGTCAAGAATGGGTGGTGGTGCCCGGCTGGCGTGGCTCAGCAGTGGAGCATCGACGTAGGATCCAGGAGATGGCGGTTTGATTCCTGCTCAGGGCACATGCCCGGGTTTCGGGTTCGATCCCCAGCAGGGGGCGTGCAGGAGGCAGCTGATCAATGACTCATCATTGATGTTTCTCCCTCCCTTCCTCTCTGAAATCAATAAAGATAATTAAAAAAAAAGAGTGGGTAGTGGTGCCCTGGCCAGTGTGGCTCAGCGGTTAGAGCATCGGCCTGATCACTTAAGGTTCTTGGATTTGATTTCCGGTCAAGGGCATGTACCTGGGTTGTGGGTTTGATCCCTGGCCCTGGTCAGGGTGCGTTGGGAGGTAACCAGTCGATGTGTGTCTCTCACATTGATGTCCCCACCCCCTTTCCACTCTCTTTAAGGATCATGGAAAAAGGACCCTACAGGGAGGTTTAACAAAAACAAGTAAGAATGGGTGGTGGCAGTAATTCTTGTTTCCAAGTGAACTTCTTCCTTGGCTTATTCTTTAAACTTTTCATCTTTACCAGGCCTTTCAACCTGGCCTGTACCCCAAAACATTTGTTCCTGAACCCCAGCTACCTTGGGGTCATCCCAGTGTGCAGGGGGGCTCAGGACGGTAATCCACTCTCCTTCCTTGGCTGTCGGCACCTCCTCCAGACCCAGATTGCAGTCTCTAGCCCTGAGCACTCTGCTGTGGTCTGGAAATCTGGGTTTGCATTCAGTGTGTGTGTAGAGAGGAGCTCCTTGTTTACGTTCAGTTAGTGCAGGTCTCAAGGGTTCAAGCCGAGCCAGCCCTGGCTGGTGCAGCTCAGTGGGTTGGGCATTCATCCTGTGCACCCAATGGTCGCTGACTCGATTCCCGCTCGGGGCACTTGCCTTGGTTTTGGGCTCCATACCCAGAAGGGAGTGTGGAGGAGGCAGCCTATCTATGGTTCAGTCTCACATCCATGTTTCTCTCTAAATAATAATAATAATTGATTAATTTGCTTGTTTTCAGTTATAGGTTTTGTTTTCTTATGATTTAATTTTAACTTTCGAAGATAGACATCATTTGTGTGTTTTAGAAGTGAAAACGTGAGGTGTACTCAGTCAATCTTTCTTTACTGCCTCCCACTCGCAGCCCCTGCTGTGTCCCCGGGTTAATACTTGTTTCCGGTTTGTCTCCCCACCTTCCCACAGCCCGGGCTTTGCGTGTCTTTTTTCTTGTACCTTGCACGACAGTTACATAGTATATACAGTTATGTGCTGTGTGCCTTTTTCACTTAACTGTTTTTCTCAGGGTAATTATTATTTTTTTAAATATATCTTTATTGATTTCAGAGACAGGAAAGAGGGAGAGCGAGAGATAAAAACATCAATGATGAGAGAGTCATTGATCAGCTGCCTCCTGCAGGCCCCTGACTGGGGATCAAGCCCGCAGCCCCGGCATGTGCCCTGACCGGGAATTGAACCCCGATTGCCTGGATCCTAGGCCGATGCTCAGCTGCTGAGCCACAGCTGGCTGGGTTCTTGGGGTAATTTTTATTAAACGTTGAATGGTTGAATAAATAAGAGGAAGTGGGATTTTTTGTGTCATTATGTAAGACTCGGTTGTGATTGTGGTCACGCTGTAAGTTCATCTTTATCGTTGCCAGCTTGCGTTCACGGGAGATGGGCTCTGCGGTCTGTGGAATGAGATGGTCAAAGATGGAGAAATCGTATACACCGGGGCAGAACTCACCCAGAGTGGAGAGCTTCCCCCTAGAAAAGGTAAGTGCCTGAACTAGTGTTTCTCATTTTGTAAAGACCTTCATAAATCACATTTTATAGAAATTGTGGGATGTGCTGAAGAAATAAGGTCTAAGCATAACTCTGAAGTTTTGTTTCGCTTTGGGGATTGCTGTGTAAATGGTAGTTACTGTTACCAGCTACCTGGATTTCATTGTCCTGTGTGCATTGAAGGCCTTTTCATTGCAGGACCCCTCACTGTGGGCCCCCCAAAAGTCTCCTCTGCAGCTTATAGACATGTCATTTCATATTTTTTCTTTTCTTAAAAAATGTGTTTTTTTATTGGTTTCAGAGAGAGGAAGGGAGAGGGGGAGAGAGAGAACCATCAATGATGAGAGTCGTTGATCGGCTGCCTCCCGCATACCCCCTGCTGGGGATCAAGCCCACAACCCGGGCATGTGCCCTGACCTCCTGGTTCCTGGGTCAACACTCAACCACTGAGCCACACCGGCTAGGCTTATGTTTCTTCTTTTAAGTTTTGAGTATGCCTTGCTCAGCTAGCCATAAAGAGTGATTTTAAAAAGCTATTTTTTATTAAAAAGAAATTTAAAACACATTTTAATTATAGTTGATGTACAGTTTTGTTTGGTTTCCGGTGTACAGCACAGTGATTAGACATTTATATAACATAAAGTGGCCACCCAGACAAGTCTCATACCCACCTGGCACCGTACGTAGTTATCATAGCATCGTTGCCTGCATTCCCTGTGCTGTCCTTAAGTCCCTGTGCCTGCTTTTGTAGCTGGCATACTGCACGTCTTAATCCTTTCCCCCATCCCCCAGCCCCCTTCCATCTGGCCACTGTCAGTTCTCTGTACCTAGAGTCTATTTCTGTTTTGTTTGTTCATTTATTTTGTTTCATAAACAGTGATTGTTAAAAGATTGAGTGTAATTGTTCCTTAAATTTTTCCTGTACGACTCTCCTGTGGGAGTGTGTAGAACACTTTTGGAAGCCTTTGGCCTGTGGACGGGACTTGGCCCCTTATTTTATTGTATCTTGTTGTCTATGCAGGGAAATACCAGGGAACACTGTTTTTTTTCAGAGAGAGAGTGGAAGGAAGGGAGAGAGAGAAAAACTTCGATGTGGGAGAGACACATCAATTGGTTGCCTCCTGCACTCGCCCCAATAGGGATCGAGCCTGCAACCGAGGTATGTGCCCTTGGACAGAATTGAATCTGGGACCCTTCAGTTCGCAGGGCCAGGGAACACTCTAGTTTAGGTTTGTAGTTGTGAAAACTCAGTGAGACTCCATCATTCAGTTGTTCTTGACTTTGCCTGTGAGTCACAATCACTGTTGAGGCTTTAAAAATAAAACGGATGCCCACCCTAGCCAGTGTGGCTCAGTTGGTTGAGCATCTTCCCATGCGTCAGGAGGTCCCCCGTTCGCCCAGCCGGCGTGGCTCAGCAGTTGAGCGTCGACCTAGGATCCAGGAGATCGCAGTTTGATTCCCGGTCAGGGCACAGGCCCAGGTTGTGGACTCTATCCCCATTCGGGGGCGTGCAGGAGGCAGCCGGTGAATGACTCTCTCATCACTGATGGTTCTCTCTCTGTCTTTCCCTCTCCTTTCCTCTCTCTGAAATCAATAAAGATATATTTTTTTTAAAAAAAAAAGAGGTCCCCAATTCAATTCCCCGTCAGGGCACATACCTGGGTTGTGGGCTCGATTCCCAGTAGGGGGCGTGCAGGAGGCAGCCGATTGATGGTTATGGATCATCGATGTTTCTCTCTCTCTTTCTCTCTCAAGTTAGTTTTAAAAAAACACCATAAAAAAGATAAAATAAATGGATGCCTGTCCCCACCCAGCCTGTAGAATTGAAAAGTCCCACTGGAGACCCACTGCTGAAGTGTGTTAGTCCCACGGTTTGAGAGCCATCAAGATGGATCAAAATATTACTTTAGAAAGTAGTTTTTCCCTCTTCATAGAATGAATTGGGATAGTGTCCATGTGAAAATACGTTGGAACAGCAGGAGTATGTCTTTCCAGTTACATTGCCTTCCAGAGTCATTCCTTTCCCCCTCGTGCTTTGTTGTGCAAATATCCACACACCCAGGACAACGGAATGATACACACAGTGAGCAGCCGCACACGCACCCAGCTCCCTCCACAGACTCTGCACTTGGGTGTCTCGCGGCTCCCTGGCTCTGTCCATCCGTCCATCGGAGCCACTTTCCTGGCTCCCGTGACACTTCATGTGTGTCATTAACTCGCTGCAGCTCAGTGTAGGTTTTGTCTTTAAGGTGCAATTTACGCACAATGAAGTGCATCTGTTGTGTGCTTCCTCGTCCACAGGTTGTGAGAAATGTGGTTTGTGTAATTTCAACCTGGTCAGCGTTCCCCTCCCTCGGAATCCCGGCCCCTTCCCTGCCTCCGCCCAGAGGCAGCCACTGGTCTGATCTTCGTCCCCTGCCAGCGAGTTCTATCTGTTGCAGAATTTCATGTAAATGTAGCCCTGGAGTGACGTGTGCCGCTTGTGTCTGACTTTTTAAAAATATATGTCTTTATTGCTTTTAGAGAGAAGAAGGGAGAGTCAGAGAGAGGGATAGAAACATCAATGAGAGAACAACAGCAGTCACCTGCCTCTAGCATGTCCCCTACTGGGGATCGAGCCTGCAGCCCAGGCATGTGCCCTGACCGGGGATTGTAGCAGCAACCTCTTGGTGCCCAGGACGACACCCAGCCAACTGAGCCACACTGGCCAGGACTATACATAACTTTTATGTGCACTGGGAAACCAAAAACAGTATCCTGTGACTGGCTTCACTGTGACCCTTGTTTGACTCTGGTGCTCTGGAACCCAACCTGCGCTGCCTCTGGGCTGTGCCTGCACCATCTCCCACAGCCAGGCACCTAGCTCGGTTCTCCTGTTGTCAGGCCGATCCCTTCATGCTTTATTTCTGGGAGAGTGGCTTCTAGTAATTGGCACTCCTTGTGGGATAAACTTTCCTGTCTTTTGCAATTCCCTGGAGAATTCCCTGGTCCCACCTGTGAGGAGTGAAAGCTACATCTCCCCAGTAAGCTTCTGTGTTTCCTTTTGGGGCCTGCTGCACAAAGAAAGGCCAGATGCAGCCTTACAGGGGAACGTTTCTCATTTAACACCCTCTGTAGGGTTGTTTGTATTTATAATTCGGAGGGAAAGTGAGGAAAGATGTGCTGAGCCCAGCCTGTGTGGCTCAGGTGGCTGAGCATCGTCGCCTGCATGAGGTCACCGGATCGATGCCCAGTCAGGGCACATGCCCGGGTTGTGGGCTCGATCCCCAGCAGTGGGTGTGCAGGAGGCAGCTGATGGATGTTTCTCTCTCATCAATGTTTCTCTCTCTCTCCCTCTCCCCCTTCCTTGCTCTGAAATTGATTAAAAAAAAATTAAAAAAAAAAAAAGATGTGCTGAGCTTATCCGTTGTCTCGGGGTGGCCCTGTCTGAAGAGTTTAAGGATCACGAGCTGCTTCATTTATTGTAAACCTTGTCAATCTATGCAGATAGTAGAAACAGTATGAGTCAGTACTTTGCTTAGCTGCTGTATCTTTTCTTGAAAGCATTTTGACGTTATTTCCTTTAACCCTCAAGTCTACCCAGAAATGGAGGCTGCAGTTTGCAGAATGACAGGGCAGAGCTAGAACTGGAAGCCCGGCCTCCAGAGGTTCCATTGCTGTTTCCATTCTCTACAGTCACATACGTGTGGTGACTGATTCAGTTTTTCTGTTTTTTGGGGTGGGTCTAATCAGTATTCCTCAGTTACGTGTTTAGATTCTAAGAGCTCAGAGGTAAATTTTCCATTTCTTTGGAATTTGGACATTTCCATTATATCCTGTGTCTTTGGCACTTTGCTGCTGGTTTCAGAGTTTTCCTTTGGAGGGCATAAAACGTTTTTTGTGGCCGGTCTCCCCAAGTAACTAATGATGACTTGGGCATAAAAGTCATTCCCATATGGAGGCAGAGGACAGGACGACAGACGCCGGATGTCACCCACACCCAGGGCTGCAGGAGGTCAGGGCGGAGCGTTTCCTGTGATTTGTGCTGAAGTTGGGGAGTCCTGGCCTGGGCTTTGGGGTCACAGTGGAGACGCGGGCACAGGCATCCAGGGAGACAGACCTGGGTGTGGGTGTGAGGGTGACGGTGGTGAGCAGGGAGCAGGAGGGTGGGGCTGACTGGAGGGATGTGTGCTGCTTTGAGTGCCCAGGCGCTTGAGGCCGTGCCTGCTGGTGCAGTGGACACATGCCCCAGGGGACACCTTTACACACCAAAGTCAAAAAGCACTGCAGAGGGGGGTCTGAAGTGTGAGGAAAGGGGGTCAGCCCATCCTCCTGGCCGTGGGAACTGAGAGGGTTAAATTCTGATCCCCTAGCCCAGGGGTTCCTAGCTGTGTTCAGGGTCCCCTGGAGCACCTGGGCAGGCACCCACGACCGCCCCCCTGGGTGGGTGCCTTCACACTGGCCTGGGCACATGCATTGCTAATAGCTCCAGGTCCCACTGCTGGTGCCTTTCAGAGAGCATGTGAGTCCCTTTGTGCAGGAGGTAGAGACCCAGAGGCAAGGAGAGCTGCTGGTGTGTGTGCTCCTCAGAAAAATCTACATGCAAACCCCAGCACGTGCCGCATCCGGGACCCAGTGAAAGTCCCCACAGCTCTTCTGTCCCCCTCGCTTCATTCTCAGTGCTTCGGTTCTGAGTCCTTTACAGAAAGCTCCCCCCTACCCCCAGAGTCAGGAGTCAGCCTGCCATCTGCTGGAAGGGCAATGTCCCCTCCTACAGGAGTCCTGCCCTCAGGACGGAAGGTCAGGAGGCCCTGCCATTGTGCGTGGTTGGCGCCCCATTTCTGGCTGTTAGCTTTAGGGAGGAAGCAGGTGATGACTCAGGGCTCTGGGGAAGTGATTACACTTGGCAGCAGTGTCAGGACCTCAGGGAGCAAAATCTTTTGTGAGGGTGGGGGGCTATCCTGTGCTGGTTAAAACAGCACAGCAGAGAGGCCTGGACGCACCCCTGGGGCCATCACAGTCCTGGGACCGCAGTGTGTGTGTTTAAGTAACATTCCCCTTGCACGGAGTGAATCTGGGAATGTTAATTTTGTCTTTCTGATTAGCTAGCTCTTCCCGGATTGTGGCCTGAAGCACAGGGAGGCTCTAATGATAGCGGTGAGCTAATAGAGGACTGTAGCGCATCCCAACCGACTGCGTTTTATTTTCAGCCCTCCTCCGGCTGGTGGGTGTTGCATCAGGACTCCCATGCTGTGGGAGCCAGTGTGTGGTTCTGGGCACCCAGGAAGGGCCAGAGACACCTGTGTGTAAAACACTGCGACAGGTTTATAGTTCAGGATTTAGAGCCGATCCTGGGGAGATGGCATCAGACCGCTGCCCGAGGAGGCGGGGCGGGGGGCAAGACTGGCCGCGCTGGGTCCCAGAGCAAGCGCAGCCTGCGCGTGAAGGGCTCACACTTTTGTTCATTGGTCCACTCTGTCCCTTCTGACACATTGAGATGAAGTCCCCTTGCCCTCAGGTCTTCGCAGTTTACTCTACCTGTGCTTCAGTGCCTTGCTGTCTCCTCTCCTGTTCTGACATAACTAAACGTTTTTCTTTTAATTGTCTTTATTGACTTCAGAGAGGAAAGGAGAGGGAGAGAGATAGAAACATCAGTGATGAGTCACTGATCGGCTGCCTCCTGCACGCCCCCGACTGGGGATCGAGCCTGCAAACCGGGCACATGCCCTGACCGGGAATTGAACCCCGGTCACCTGGACCCTAGGTTGATGCTCAACCGCTGAGCCATGCCCAGCCGGGCAAACGTTTTTCTTTAAGACAAAAATGACTTTACTCCCTGGATAGAACATTTGCCCTCTTCATGCATATTTCTATTTCTCTGCCACTCTTCTTTCCAGTTTAATCACAACCATTCGTATTAATTACAGCTTTTATCCAAATTAGGCAACTTTTTTTCTTTTGTTAAGCCTCCCCCAAGGATATTATTTCCAGTGATTTTTAGAGAGAGTGGAAGGGTGCAAGGAAGGGGGGGAGAGAGAAACGTCAATTCGAGAGAGTCACATTGGTTGGTTGCCTCCCTCTTGCATCCCAACCTGGGTGGGTGGGGATCGAACCTGCAGCCCAGGTATGTGCCCTTGACTGGGGAATCGAACCCGGGACCCTTCAGTGTGCCGGGCGACGGTCTAACCACTGAACCACACCAGCCAGCGCCCAATTAGGTAACTTTGAATTCAGGTAGTGTGTTTTTCTGACATCAGATACAGGGTGGGGCAAAAGAAGGTTTACGGTTGTTCATATGGAAAATAATACAGAAATTAGTAAATAAATATTACAAGAGTGAGCCCTGCTCCACATGCTTAGAGCTGTAAACCTGCAAATGCTCACCCTGTGCATGTCATTTCTCTGCACCTGTTCTGTCTCTCCCTCACCCGCTCTGTCTCTGTGGCTCCCTCACCCGCTCTGTCTGTCTCTCTCACTCACTCTGTCTCTGTCTCTCCCTCACCCGCTCTGTCTCTCTCTCACCCACTCTGTCTCTCCCTCGCCCACTCTGTCTCTGTGGCTCCCTCACCAGCTATTCCCACACCAGCTGTTCTGACGCCAGCTGAGTACTAGCAACTCAGTCCAGTTCTGACAACTGCTGGAGTTCGCTCTGTCTCACAAGACTGCCTCCCCCTCAGATGCTGACCACACGTGGGGTTCCTGCCCTGGCCTGTGTGCTCAGTGGTTAGAGCATCCGCCCGAGCACCGAAGGGTCGCAGGTTCGATTCCCGGTTAAGGACACGTACCTTGATTGATCCCTGCTCTGGTCGGGTGCGTGCAGGAGGCAACCAATCAATGTGTCCCTCTCGCATCGATGTTTCTCTCTCTCCCCCCCTCCTCCCTCCCTAAAAATGAATGGAAATAGTGTCCTTGGGCACAGATAAAGAAAAAAAAAGAAAAGAAAAAGAAAATCTTGTCTTGGAGCTTTTATTTAGCTTTCTAACAATTGCCAGTTTGCTGAGTGTACGGTAATATTTCATTATTTTATATTTTTCTAAACATGAGTTTGAGTATCTCTATAGCACTAGCTCTTTGGGGCCCTGCTATTGCAGGTCTGATGTGTTTCCTGCAGAATGCAAGAGTTGCCTGAATATTTGTCCCTTGTTGGTTTCATATATTTTTAGGTATTCCTTACTATTTGTAATATGAGATGTGCATTTCTAATTGTGTCGTTTAGAAAATAACTTTAGTAAGAGCCTTCTGGGACGGAACACGCCTGCTCGTCAAGGTGAAGGTGAACTCGCTCTCCACTTGCTGTGCCAGGGGTTTCTGACATTTGTTCTTGACTGAAGCTTTCAGTTGTCGATGCCCTAACGTCATGGTTCCCGACTCCCCTTTTGTGTCCCGGCGCTGGTGCTCCCTCGGTGGTGGCGGCCCCGGCCCCTTCAGCAGAGGTTCTCTGCTGGTGGTGGAGTAGGCGGTGTGTAGAGCTAGTGATTTCCAGTCACACTCCCTTCCCGTGGGCGCGCCAGCATTGGGGAGTCACTGGCTAAACACAGTTGATGTGAAATTCAAGTGGGTAACTGCCAAAGGCTACGTTTCTTGGTTGTCAAAGGTGGTAGGAAACTGATGGAATATTTTGGAAGACATGCTTCAAAGAAGAACTTGAGTGCTGTGTGGATTTCTTATTAAAAGGGCCAGTGGGCGAGTCATGTCTTTGTAAACCTCATTCTACCTGTTAGGGTGATGCTCCATGGAATTTTTTAAAAAGAAATATGTCTTTATTGATTTCAGAGAGAGGGATGAAGAGGGAGAGAGAGAGAAACATCAGTGATGAGAATCATTGATCAGCTGCCTCCCGCACGCCCCTGACTGGGGATTGAGCCCACAGCCTGGGCATGTGCCCTTACCGGGAATCGAACTGCAATTGCCTGGATCCTAGGCCAACGCTCAACCACTGAACCATGCTGACTGGGCCATGGAATTTTTAAAAAAATGACCAGACATTCAGCTAGCGATCCGCGTTCTCACTCGCCTCCGTTTCTGGGAGGGGTATTTTCAGAGAGGCTGACAAGTGGATATTATGTTTTGAAAAGCAATTTGTAGATGAAAAGACATTTTTTTAAATTTTCAGATGATGGCGTTGACCCTCAGAGTGGAACCAGGAAGGAGGATCTGAACGACCGCGAGAAGAAGGACGGCGACTCTGTGCCCGCTCCCGCGCCCACGCCCCGGTCCCAGTCGGTGCTGCAGAGCTGGGTGTGGGGCCGGCAGCCAGGTGCGCCCCCTGAGACCCCGCTCTGGGAGGCCTTCCAGCTACCACCGACTGCCTTTGTTTGGTCACGGGATTTTAAAAGTCTCACCTAAAACTTTTTTGTTGTAGTAAACCACACGTCATAACAGTGTAGTTTCAGCCTATATTTAATCCCCACCTAAGGGTACGTTTACTGATTTGAGAGAGAGGAAGGGACCAAGCCGGCAACCTGAGCCTGTGCCCTGACCAGGAATTGGACCTACAGTCTGTATAATTTCCTGTTACCGACACTTATGCAGCTTTTGCAGACACCCAGTACACCGTGGTGGCCCACAGTGGTCACCCATGATTCCTCCTTACCTGGGTGACCATGGGGAGTTCTCTGTGCCTCCGTTTCCTCCTATAAAAGGCACACGCAGTAAGTGCCACCTTGACGGTGGCTGTGAGGATCACTTAGTATGTGTACAGTGCTTAAAACTGTTTGCCCGCCCAGCTGGTCTTGCTCAGTGGTTGAGTGCTGACCTAGGGTCCAGGAGATCGAAGTTCGATTCTCTGTCAGGACACATGCCCGGGCTTTGGCCTTGATCCCTGGTAGGAGGCAGCCGATCACTGACTCTCTCATCATTGATGTTCCTCTCCCTCTCTCCTTCTCCTACTCCCTCTCCCCCTCCCCTCCTCCTCCCCCT